CCAAGAAATGAAAAGAAACAGTAGGAAATCTAGACTGCTGTACTGTATTCATCTGTTAACTACAACAGTGCTTCATCTGCTCCTTCTCCTTATGTGTTAATCTATCTGTGTACCTACTGAGATAAAGGACACAAGTTCTTCCAGTATTATTGAATCAGATCCACACAGAGAGAATCAAGTACCAACAAAAAGCACTTAGTGGTATCATTTCTTTTGTTTCCTATCATTCAGAGAGAAGGAACAACAAAAATATCACTTTGACTTCAATTTATTTCATTGTTTAAACCCATGAATGACTATCTCCTCATTCTTAGCTAAGGCCATTATTCAAATATGCTCCTGAAATCCCCTGCTAAATATCTCCCCCTTTGTATGTGTGTGTGTGAATTCTGACATAAATGATTTGATTAACTTTGAATGCTTTGCTTATTACCTAATTGTGCCCCAAACTGCATAGAAAATACAAGTCTTCTGTCTGCCACGCATAGCAATACTTTAAAAAGGGGGGGGGGGAGGGGAGATTCATCAACAGGGGTCAACTCAGCATCTTCTAGTAGAAAAAAAGTCTTCAGTCCTTTATTCATTCCTTGGAAGTAAATCTTACTAACTCAAGACATGTATACAGTTATCCTGTGTGGTTTGCTAAGAGGAAACAAAGATTGTAAGGAAAAAAAGGGGTCTAGGGTTTGGAGCTTCAATACTAGCTAAATTGGCTGGAATCGAGCACCCAGACATTTAAAGTTATTTGGCCAAGCAACAGGGACAGACTGTGATGCACTGTGTTCTTTTTTCCCCCAGAACAGTATCAACTAATGTTTTCACATCCTGGAAGAGATAACATAGTCTTAGAGAGGCCCTCTGTTTTTTCCTCTTAAAATATTCCTCTGCCATCAGAGCTCCTGAAAGCAACAAGAACCAGTCAGTTTTCTGTTTCTCTTCCTTTGCAGCTCTTCACATCTGGGATCTTCTCATTCCCATCAGGCTAGACAGGATTCTTTAAAGAGCAAGGTTAGCCGGCTGATCCTTGGCTTGAAAAATTGTCAACATTGCATAGGCTCTGATGTAAGCCCTCCAGGTGGAGCTCATGGGTGCATGTGACATCAACCACAAGCAGTGCTGAAGGACAGCAGCCTTACCAGACATCCTAGAATTCCCATCTGCAATGGACAGTGTTGGGAGTGGGGTGGAGCTCCTACAAGTATGGGGCTCTCTGCAAAATCTGGGATTTCAGGCTTGCTCAGTGTGTGCTAAGTGTGGTACCAGCTGTCTTGGGAAGCGGCACTTTAACTGGCAAGCGGCAAGCAAAACTAAGCATTAGCTGGAAATCTGGCAAGCAAAACTAACACACCCTGAGGTGGCTGGAGAAGCAGCTTTTCTACCTCCTCTAACCCAGTTCTTGCCCCAGAAGACAGCAGTGGAGTTCCAGTGAATGCTTGCTGCAGAATCAGTATCACCCCCACTTACAATAATAACAGCAATGGAATTCAGTGGAGAAGGCTTCCTGGATTGTCCTGCTTAGCCCTGGGAGAAACAGACTAGGAGAAATAAGGCTACTGAAAAGAAGCAAAGAAGATAACCCTCTGCACCTCTCAAATGCAGGGTCCCCTCTTGTGACTTCTGACATTGTTTAGAGTCATCCAATCATTGTTGTACCAATGTAACAGTAATGAGGACAGGCTTTATACACTAGAAGATGCTGTAAGTCAATGGTGGGGAAATGGGTTAAATGAAGATGGATGAGTGGGGCAGAAGACAGGTGTGGGTTGCTATTTGAGAATCCCTACAGGCAGCAGAGAAATGAAATTGCTGTTGAGGAATTTGGGGGCTGGAAGGCAGTTTCCAGAGGTGGGTTATGGTGATGAGGTGCAAGAAGGAGGAGGAAGAAATGGAAGAATCGGGTCTGTTTGGAAGATGTCCTTCTTTCCTTCCAATGCAAGAGGAACATTGACGCTCTGATACAAGAATTCCACACCAATAAACACGCCACCCTGTAGGAATGGCCCATGAGACAAGGGAGATGTGTTAAGAGATAGCCTCAGATGACATCACTCAAGGGAGAAGTGGGGCCCGTGGGGCAGGACAAGACAAGCGCTTCCATTCAGATAAGGAAAAGGCCAAAGTGATGGGAGCTGAAAGGCTGTCAGAACACAGAGGATGGCTCTCTCCAAAATGGATGGCTGGTCTGCAATTAAATGTTAATGCTGCCAGTGCAGTGAGAAAAGGAATTTCAGTTTAAGTCAAGAACCTCAGGGTGGATGCTTGTAGGGGGCAGGAAGATTACCCAGGTTTTGGTTGGCTTGGCACAGACAGCCTCCCCCCTTCCCCCAATCTTTCCCCTTTGATCCCAAGGGCCAGGATTGTTTGCATCTCTCTCCTGCTGGTCATCTGTTTTAAAATGCCTGCCTATAAGGAAAGGAAGTGGCAACCAGGATTTGGGGGGGGCAGGGGGAGGGAGGGAAGTGCCTCAAACTCCAAAGGTACCAGCTGCATCCCTTCCCTCTTGCTCTCTGACTGCAACATAATTATTCCAGCAAGAGCAACGTGACAAATTAACAAAGCAGCCAAGGCTTTTGAACTAGAAGGGTGTGCTTTCCCCGAAAATAAATTGCTGTAATCCTTAATGCCTGACACCAAGCTATACCTCATCTGTTAATTGGACAGGATCCTTTTTGACAAGTGGAATCACCTGCCTTCAGCCAAACAAGGAGGGAAAAATACTGGAAGGCAAGGAACACCAGATCAGACTTTCCAGCCAAAGCATACAAGGCTGTGGGAGTGGATATCCCTGGAGTTGAAATGTCCATGGGAGGGGGATAGGTACAACACCTCCAGTTTCAAACCACTGCTTTGGCTAGCTCTGCAATGCTTTACAAAACAAAACTGAACTAGAAGTTGGACAACTTTAGGGAAACATGTCACTAATTTATCATACCCAGGACATCCTCCCAATAAAATAGAAAACATATTTTGAAGGCGGAAAACATGTAACCGATCTCAAACAGTATGGGACAACAGCTGCATTACACAGTTTTCCAAACATTGGGGAATGGGCAAAAAAGGCATCCTGGGGGCTGCTGGGGCCATTCACACATGCTTTGGAAATTAAATCACCACTCTCTCTTTTCAACACATCCACTTTTTGCCCTCACAGCTAAATACGGAAAGGAAGAGAGGCAAACCAGAGACAGCCAGGCTGGCATTTCTCCTCTAGTTTGCTCTGTTTTGCTGCGTACCTGAAATGCAGACAATGAAATTGGCTTGCAGAAGAAAAAGCACCTCCCAAACAATTTCCATCCTCCGATTCTCATGCCAAGTGCATCACTCGGTGAAAAAACACAGCAAAGATCAATATTGCAGTTTGAGCAATCCCAGAAAATCTCCTTTTGGACTGGCAGCCTCTATTTCCCAGATGTGCTGACACATGTCCAAGCTCTCTCGTCGCCGTGCAGCTCAAGCCAGATCCTTTTTCTTCCTTTGCCGTCCGCCAAAGACTAAGGAGGCAGCCGCCAGCACCAGCTTCTTCCTTCAGGAGAGCAAGAAATATCCACCAGGTCTCCCAACAAGACATAGACAAAAGACAAAGGACCAGCAGTTCCCCGCTCCGGAAAGTCTCAATTCTAGGGGACCCGAATGCCAAGTTGTCCCCAAACTCTGCACACCTCAGCGAGGCATCGCCCCGGCCAGCCGCGCCGTCCCGGCGTTCCCTTTTCTTCGGCTCGCTACAAAACGATCACAAAGAGATTAAGACACATCGTGTCGGGCGTCAGGTTTTTCGCACCGCGCTTCACCTACAGCTCCAGAGGAGAGGACGAAATACCAAACCCCGGGTCTCCTGCCAAAAAACAGCTCAGGCTCCCGTTAATTCCCAGCATCGGAAAGGAGATTTTCCGCAATGCAACTGCAGGGGTCGTTCTTCCCTCGCCTACCGCGGGTCGCCTGCTCTTCCCTCCCTCCTCCCTTTGCTTTGCAAGCTAACGGGGAGAAGTCATCGCGGAAGCAAATAAATTAAAATAAATAAATAAAGAGCGTGCCAAGCGGCTCCTGTTTCTCTCTCTCTCTTTTCATCCCCCCACCCCGTTTCTTCCCAATGTTCTCAAAATTAGATGGGGTGGCTTTGGAAGAGATGGGAAAGAATGCATTTACATCGCGGTGCAACACACGCACAGAGATCGCTCGCCTCTTCCGCCAGCTGAAGTACTGTATACCGGGCCCGCTGCCTCAGCCCATTTCCCCGTAGGGCTACTCCTGCCGCCGGGAAAATATATTGAGCTTCCCTTTCCCCCTCCTTTCCGAACATTCGCATGCGAAAAAAAGTAACTGCAGATAGATACTTTGCTCTAAGCGGGGCAGAGCTCGGCGAGGAACTAGCGAAGTAGTTATGCCTTCCATCTATGGCTAGAAAGAAGGCAGGCGGGAGGTCCTAAGCAGGTCCGCTTTAAACAAGCCCTGCGCCTTACGGGGAGACCTGCTCCCAGGTAAGCCTACTTCCGGCGAGACTGCAACTGCAAGCGCTGCCCTGGGCTGGGCGGCAAAAAGGCCAAATGTTTGAGGAGCCTCCTGTAGGCTCGCCCGGCTTGGATCCTACTCGACTTCTCCGCGAGGAGCGGTTCCATACTCACCCCCTCCTCCCGGACGCTCCCGTTGGCTGCTTCTCTTCCACCTCCTCCGGCAGGGAGATGGGGTCCCCCGTCGTCGATCTGCCCGCAATCCCCCAAAGAGCGCGAGGTCAGGCTGCTCCGCTCGGGCTCAGCTCTGGGGGAAAAGCGCGCCTTGCGGCCAGGTCCTCCTTAGGACTGATCTGCCTGCCTCCCCGCCGCGCGCGCCCCCCACCCCT